CTGCTTGAAAGTTACTTTTACTATCAAAAAATGAATACACTTGCTCTCAAAAGCAAGTTATTTACGAATTCTTGGCAACAATGCGGAAAGGCTGATGTCTAATTAATACAAGCAAGGCTCAACTGCACATAACGTCAGACTTCACCTACATTCAAGACGGAAATTGAAGGCTCATTTTTTGCTGAAGAAAGTGAATTTTCCACACTTTCAAAAACAGGCTTCTACGACTTTCTTGAAATGAGAGAGAAAAGAGACATGAACTTTTCAAATAAGGCTTTATCTTGCAAAAGTCAAATTTCACCCCCCTCCCCCTTCTCCCCTCTTCTTGAGACCAAAATCGACTGAACGCTCAATTTTCCCAATAGAAATCAGATTTTTCCGCTAGCTTTTTCGAAAGAATGTGTTTCCATCATTTTTTAAAATTTGTAAAGAGCATGAATTTTCCAAAATGGGACTCTACTTTGCAGGTGTCAAATTTTTATTTCTTTAAAAAACAAAGTTGACACTATTCTCACTTCTTCGTTAAAAAAAAACAGATTTTTCAGCGCTGTAACTCTCAAACATAGACTTGTAATTTTTGTTCAGGCGCAAGCAGGACAAGCCAATGAGTCCAATTAATCTGCAAACTTTCCCGAAGGATAAATTTTTCGTAGTTTTCCTGAAATTTGTGCGAGAAAGAAATGTGGACAATAGGCTCTGCGACCAACTGGTGGGGTGCTGATTCGCTAAAGAATCATATTTTTGAGCACTCTATCTTTGAAGCCAGATTTCCGATGAAGTTTGGAGCATGGTGTTTGATCCCCCCAAATCTACTCCTCCCCCTTCGAGACAAAAATAGGCGAAACGCTGTTATATTTGTAAAAAATCAGATTTTTGCCCATTAAAGCCAGATTTTGATGATTTTTGGAGCAGGCTGATTGATTTCCCCGAATTACCCTCCTCCTTCGAGATCGAAATTGAAGAAATGCCAAAAGCAAATCGATGAATTTTGTTGTGATTTGTGGCGGGCTGAGTGCTCCCCCAGATATACCCCCTCCACTTCAAAACCAAAGATTGAATACACAATTCTTCGCTAGAAAAACTTAGGTAGCAACTCACCTTTCAAAGGCAAGCTTAGAACGAATTTTATTGAAACTTGAGCGGGATAAACGCTGATTTTAAATCTGTTTTTGTTATCTGCTGAGCTTCTCTGGACGCCGAGTTAGTTATGAGCGTTATTTGGGCTGAAAAATTGGATGCGTAACCGAAAAAAAATTGAAATTGCTCAAATGGTCCAATTTTGATTATCAAAGCACCCATTCAAAGAACACTTTCTGTTCAAAACACTCATACTACATACTGCTTTATTTAAGCTTGAAAAACCCGTAACAGTTGATTCTACTTGAATTCTGCGATCATTTTTCACTCCAAAAATCACTCATAACTCGGCTCGCAGAGGCTCTCGGCAGATACGAAATCAGATTCGGAATCAACATTTAACGCTCTTTAAAACAGTATATGACTCTTTCAAATAGGCTACTTCGACTAATCGGACCTCCCTTGTTGCTACCCATTCGTTGCGAAGTGACAGTGAAAATGAAATAGGGAATGATGAAGAAACCTTGATTTTGTTGAATTCAGTGCCTTTTCTATTTGGTGTTGAACCGGCACAAAAGCGAGAAGGATCAGAGCCACCTAATTTGCCTCAACTTCACCAGTACAGTCACAAAATTCTAGAGGGGAATGCAATGATCCTAAGACTGAGTGCTATAGTAAAGCACATTAAATTTGGACGGCTTGCACTAACACGATCAAAATCGTTGCGCTTCTATTGGTGACCATTAATGAAACATGAAAACATATAAAAAAATATAATAACATATAAACAACACAACTGCCAAAACGATACAAAATTTCATGACATTATTTGTACCTGTTTTTGACATCATCTGGTTTCGAGACCAAGAACTACACCGGAGTGCAGCTTCTTGCTGCTCATCATCAGTAGTTCTCAGGGAAGCCAAAAAATTCAAGAAGAGTGATAGCCAAAAGAATTTTAGTGGAATAGAAGGCAGCAAAGTCTAAAAACAAGTTAAGTCAAATTCGTACATTGAAGTGAAATCAAACCCAACTAGCGGCACACAATTGCTCGCAACTTCATAGTCGAATGAGTGCATTCCGTCGTGACCCCAGAGCGCGCTAGCTGCATCCCATGTATCGCGCGGTTCATGTATAGTCGTCCTCCCCCCATTAGATACCTACTGGAAGAATTCGAATTTGAACTAAGCACGACTGCTGATCTCAAACAGATTTTTTGTGTTTTCGCGAAGTTATAACCTAATTTTTGAAGGCTGACTGTTTCCTCATTTTGCAATGAAATTGTTGCTTTTATTTGAGCGATGGATTGTGTTGCTATGCTCGTTTCTTTGACTACGATTCCAAGTTGAGCTTGGAGAATTGACTAAGTTTGAAAACTGGTGGAATTTTTCTTGGTAAGTCTTGAAGTGCTACTTCATTGAACACTTCATGTCAAAAATTCATGTGCATCGTTTTACCAGAGTAAGGAAAAGAGCATAGTAGTACGAAACATCGTTGAGACAAACAACTCTTTTTGATCACAATCATCATGAAGACAAAAAGAAATCACAATGCAACGACAACAAAACACAATATAAGACTGCATTAGCTTGAAATGCCTTTGACGGTGCCGCGTTCTGCCGCAGCCGACGTCCTTTAGTTCAAATGGTGGACGACTATAAAAGCAAATGTATAGCTGTAGCGAATCCGTATTACGCATTATAAATGGTCTATCGAGGAATATGTGGCAAAGTTTATTCATAAAAATTGACATTATTTGAAAATAATGGATATACACCAATCACCAAATGTCATGCCTAGTTCTGTTATTCTTTCTTTGAGTTGTACGTAATCTGAGCAATTCCTATACCGCGTCCCAAAGAAATATGAACACTGTTTGATTGTTAATAACTCTCTTGCTTTGAAGTCTTTCGCCGAGCTTGGGGTACCATGCTGTAGAGCGAGGTTCTTAGATTCACAGTATGGACCGAGTGATCAATCGCTCTGCATTATTAGGACTGCGATATGAACTTTCAGCACAAAGCGCCACTGTGAAATGGGCTTTTGGATGGAAAAAACTGCAAAAAATCTGAAAGTTTGCGTAGCAGGGTTTTCAAGAGCTCTGATTCCAGTAAACGACTTTTACTTTTGTTGAGCTCTTCTGATGGTGTAATTACACTTCTGATGATTACTGGAAAAACAGATCTTAACCTAAACTCAAAGTAACTTATGAAAGATGCATTATACTGGAGTCTAAATACCATGTTTAAAATTAGCGACTTCGATTAGTCGAATAAATAGCTTCTGGCTTGTTTGGTTTTCCTTCTAAGGCAAAAATCGTCTTTATTTTTCTAAATTTGGTTTTCCTTCTGAGGCAAAATGCGCTTCCACTTTCCTAAAACCGCCCTCTATGGTCACAACATGAAATTACAGTAATAAAAAGTGAAAGATGATTCAGCTTATGCTGTGAATCTAAGTTGAGCAATGCTCTACAGAATGGTACCTCAAGCTCAACTTGAATTTGCAATATAAGCCGAATCACCAATCACTTTTTATTACTGTAGGTTTACGGTACGAGCATCGAAGGCGATTTTAGGAAAGTGAAAGCGTATTTTGCCTCAGAAGGACCAAACAAGCCAGAAATTCTTGTACTAGACATATCGAAGTCGCAGTCTCTGAATATGTATTTTCGACATTTGGACTAAAAGAAAGGCATTATTAACGATCAAACAGTGTTCACATCTTTTGACACCCTTTATATTCTGACAAGGGAATGGTCAGAAGTCGAAGTGGCCAATCCATACATTCTGCATACCATTCGATGCAGCATAGAATGCTGATTCTAAATCTATGTTCCTTATCTGCAGAGCTCCTTTGTAGGCGAAGTTATGAGCAGCTTTACTGCGAAAAAATCGTGTACAAATATTGCGAATTTAGTCACATCATTGCTTTTCTTAGCTCACCTTTAGGGATGGGCCATATGAACTGACCTAGTTGCATGTTTTGTCTAACATTGAGTCGAGGATGGCTTTGTACGGCCAAGTTTGCGCTTTGCACGCACAATTTCTTAGCAAAATAATGGCCTTCAACGGCCTATCCTTTCGTCCACAAAAGCGCTCTGCAGATAATAAAGACATATTTAGAGTCAGCGTTTCATGCTGCATCCAATGGTATGCAGCTCGTTTGAATTGGCCACTTCGACTTCTGACCATTCCCCTGTCAGTACTTCTGTAGCACAAGTATCAAAGAGTATGTATCTTGGCATATTAAATCCCCTTGTGGGTATCTATTGACCTTGAAACTGGTCGCATCTGTTTTATTGTACACCAGTGCGACACCTCTGCTTCGCAGAGGCTCGCACTGGTCCTACTACCTAATTGCCTTACTCATTCTCTTTAATGATGGGATTGAAACTCACCGCAATGCCGACCGACTATCACAAATAAAATGTAAACAACTACTGTGAAATCGGCAATTTCGCGTGAAGAGACTTTCCGCAGAAGAACAAACGCAAATCTGGAAAACCAAAATTGGACCATTTGAGCAATTTCAAATTTTTTCCATTCATCCATTTTTCAGCCCAAAAAACGCTCATAACTAACTCGACGTCCAGAGGAGCTCGGCAGATAACGAAAACAGATTTGAAATCAGCGTTCAAAGCTCTTCAAAATGGTGTATGACTTATTTGAAAAGGCCACATCGACTAATCGGACTTCCCTTGTAACTATGAAAGCAAGTTCTTCACTGTAAGTGAGAGCAATCAACTCCGTTCTGGAGCTCCTGTATATTCAACGGAAGCCATTATATTCCCCTTATGAAGTGTAGTTGATCTCAAGTACACAGTAGTAAAGCTGCTAACTTTATTTCAAAAACTTGGGAAGTGTTGAACTTTCCCTGATTAAGCGGAAAGACTCATGAATGGATTGTGTGGTAACAAGAAAGGATTATGATCCAGGAGCCACGCAGAGTCCAAGAGAGCCGTCGCAGGACGTTCCAGCCGGGCACATGGTGCACGTAGTTCCGGGTATGTAAATCCTTTCTTCGACTTTGTTTCCACTAAGAAAGTAGAGCGTAGAACAACCAAAAAGCATCATTATGAAAATACTCACGGTGGGCTATACAGGCATACAGCATGCCATTGGTCACCACATTCTTGAACCGTGCAACCCATTTTGTTCGTGTTAGCCCAAGCCATCTAAATTTAGTTGTTTTTATCTAGAGTGCTCAGTTTTAGAATCAATGCATTCTTACTCTAGTAAAGGTTCTCACTTGAAGACTTTCATGTTTGGCTCTGAAATAACATTGCAGCCCAATAGGCTCATCTAGTCTCACCCGTTTCCACCACTCTTTTATACTCTGTAAACTGCAACACTTGAAATTGAACACTAAGAGGCTACCGACCGCGGCCATGGCGTCCACTCTAGGCGCTTCGGCAGATGCGACATCTGATTTTGGAATATAATATCTGTTTTCTTGATAATCCGCGGTGTTTGCTTCACTTCCCAACGCCTCGCACGCCTCAGCACGGTCGCGTGCTGTAAGTTCAAGATCGCAGTCATATTTCTGTAAAATGGTTAGCGTAACAGAAGAGTTGGAACTATGTGTGACTCTTCACCAACCAATTTCTGCATATTCGCAGCTGTAGGCATGTAGACACCGTTCCTCTTTACCACTTGTCCCTGGGCAAGTACTGATCTGAACAATGTAAAGTTCAAGCAGATTTTAGATGTTCGTACAGCATGATTTAGCATTCTTTTGCTACATTTCGATCCTGTCCAGGGACATTGAATGTCACCATTTACAATAGTTTTTTTTCGTTATGCCAGAGCTGAACTAACCTATGCCAGTTAGTCATATTTATTTATTTATTTATTTATGTTTTACACTCAAGGTGTGCCAATATGGAAAAAAAACAAACAAACAAAAGCAAACACTAACGATAACAAGCAACTCATACCAATTCAGAGGGGACAAGGAGCAGTCCAAGGGAAGTGATCAAACGCAGTATGGGAACTTATAGGCAATAATTTCTGCCTTAGATTAGCCAGGGTGCTGCTAGCAAATAGGCTTGCAGATCAAATCGTGCTAAAACGTGAATTCCAATCTTGCTGCCTCTGAAGACTTCCACTATAATTTTTGGGTGCCAACGAGCCTACGGGCGGAAGCTAGCTGGCGAAAACCAATTGAAAAAGGTTTTCAGAGGTCAGCAAGATATCTCAAACATATGAAGGTATGCTTGGCGATGATAATCTCCGAACAGGGAATATACCCTTGTTTAGGAGAAAATGGGGATTACTAAAGTTCAATAATTGTGAGGTTGGGTGTTTGGAGGCTGCGATAAAGTTCCCAGGAAAATAGTATGAGCTGACCATCTGCTAGTAAATGCAAAGTGTATGGTTAGTAACAGTGCGGAAGTATTTCAAACAAGGCGAACGATCCTCTTGAGCAGAAGCCGGTTCTTTAAAAGTAATAAATGACAAGTAATTGGAGGTAGAACGCGAACTCGCAAGACGCCGGAATTGTAGAAGCCACATTGAACTGAAATCAGGAGGGACCATGTCTCACCAGAAAGGTAGAAAAGTAGAAAAGCGTAAGTGAACAAGCGATACCTAAAAGTCATCCATTTTTATTTCACGTAGTACATTGAGATCTTCTAATTTTCTACGAAATATGTGAGAGTTTTCGCTACTGATTACCTCTGTAGGCAGTAAAGCGAGCCATCTAGTTGTACGACAAAAGAAAGAGTTAAAAACAGTTGAAAACAATTTTTTGCCAAGCTTACGATAGGAAAAGTGAAACCCACCTGTGCGTTGGTTGCCAGGCTTGAAAATCCAATATTTACTCGGTCTAATTTTGGTTTCAAGGCGCAAAATACGGAAGCACAAGACTAAGTCGCTGACTACTCTCCTATATTTCAAACTCTGAAGCTTCAATTTTTCAAGGCGAAAGCGATAGGATGGTAATGACTGTGGATATCCTGCATCAGGAAAGCATCTGTAGTAGACAATTCTTGTAAATGTTTTTTGTATTTTCTCAATCTTCTCAATGTGTTTATTCCAAAAAGGGCTCCAAATGGGAGATGCATATTCCAGATGAGGCAATACACAGCTTTTATACAGTCGCACAAACAATTCCGGGTCATTGCTATGAATATTTCTGAAAATCTTGAATAGGACAGCAGATGATTTTTTGATGATAGAATCAAAATGAGAAGTGAATTTAAGCGAACTATCTATCATGATACCCAGGTCTCTCACAAGAGTAGATGACTCAAGATTGACACCATTGTAACTGTACGTGCGACAGGGAGAGTGACCCAAATGCAACACCGTTGTTTTAGAAATGTTTATAGGAATTTTCCAATCTTGTGACCAAATTGTCATTCGATGAATCGCTGAAGAAAGCGCTTCAAAAGCTTCCCCTTGCTGGCTATCATTATAACAAAAGTAAATTTTAATGTCATCCGCAAACATCTGAACTTTAACTTCGGGGTGCGTTTTCAAAAACATTGGTAATTCAGCAACATAGATCACAAAAAGCAAAGGTGAGAGTATACCTCCCTGAGGCACTCCGCTGCAACAATAAAATCGATTTGAGTACCTACTCCCTACACGTACTGTCATTCCTCTATCTTGGAGATACGATTCAAACCAAGACAATAGGTTTCCTCTGATGACATAATTCTCAAGTTTAAAAAGAAGATTTTGATGATTCACCTTATCAAAAGCTTTGGAAAAGTCGAAGTAAATAATATCAACAGATTTGTTATGATTAAGAGCAGTCAACCAATCAAAAACAGAATCCAGGAGCAAGGTAGTAGTGGAGCAAGATGGTAAGAAACCATGCTGTTCGAGAGGAAAAACATGGTTACTATCAAACCAATCAAAGATCTTGTCTCTGACAAGCTTCTCAAGAATTTTCCCGGCTGTGGGCATGATGCTAATGGGCCGGAAGTTTGCTAAAGTACACATATTTTCTCTTTTGGGAATAGCCGTAATGAGAGCCTCTTTCCATATTTTTGGAACTGCAGAAGTAAAGAGAGAAGCATTAAAAATGTACGCGAGAGGGTAACGAAGCGAAGGAGCACATTTTCTGTAAAGAATCTGTGGTATGCCATCGTAAGTGGCAGAAGTAGATGATTTAAGCTTCTTCAAAATCTCAAAAACACTTCCAGGGATAACTTGCAGGGTCCCACAAGACTCCTGGATACGGTTGCCTGACTGTATCAATATCCTGTGAAGTGTGGTCGAATACTTTAGCAAAAAAGAGCCCCAGAGCATCAGCTTTCCCTTGATCCTCTGCGTAGGTTTCTCCACCATCTGTTATTGCTGGGAGTCTTGCCCCACCTTTAACCCTGGCTCTTAGATACCGAAATAGCTTTTTACTACCTTGCCTATTAAGGCGATGTTCATGATTACTGAAGAATTTTTTGAGGTGGTAACCAAGATCACGACAGACTTTAATGTACAACGTATCTGCTAATGGATCACTAAGATTAGAAAACAGTCTTGATTTCTGTTCAACCAAATTTTGAATATGAATAGGAAATTTACGAAAAGGAGTTTTTTGCGTCACGAAAGGTATATACTTGGCCATGGCATTGTAGAGCACTAGACAAAAGCGATAGTACAAGTCATCGATAGAAGTGTATCCGGCGGAAACGAGTGACCAATCAGTTTGCATGAGCTCAGCATTCATTTTGAAATAGTCAGCTCCGAAAAGATCAGGAAAAGGCAAAAAGACTTTTTTGGGAAAAGAAAAACGAATACGAAAAGATACTACATTATGATCTGATGTACCAAAGGGCGGGAGTGCAGCAGTCCGTCCAAAATATCGTGAGAGGAAAAGACAAGATCAATAACTGATCTACCTCTGGTAGGAAAATTCACATTCTGTATGAGCCCACATCCCCGGAGAAGAGAGAGTAAATGCGCATTATGTGGGTGTCTATGAGGAGAAGAAGCATTAACATTAAAATCTCCCAATACGATTATTTCAGCTGGAGAGGAACTGAAATCGCGAATAACATTGATTAGATCATCATCATCGCTCACACTAGAGCTTGGCGGGCGATATACTATGACAATTTTTATCGGGGAGAATGATCGAGTAGTAAAAATGTTCAAACAAAGCACATCAGATTTGATATGTTCGGTAACTATGGTGCGCTGAACAGAAAACTCGGTTTTGACGAAGCAGCAAACGCCCCCACCTTTGCTTACAGTGCGATCGGCTCGAAAAACGTTATACGGGAGATCAGCAATCAGTTCACAATCGGAGATCTTTTGGCTTGACCAGGATTCGGTAACACACAATATATCAGGATAGTGGATTTTCAAAAAACCATGAAGTAAATGCAGTTTATTTACTAAACTGCGCGCATTGAATAGAAAGCACGAAATGAAATCAGATGGACCTGGCATTTTAGGCGTTTCCCTGGGAAGGGTGCCTGGGAAGGTCCGAGATATGCTTTACTTCTCCTCTATAGACTACCCATTGTTTCGACGCACAACCTCTATTCTTCTCCCAGGCCTGCCTCCGCAACTCAGCGTCCAAGGCTCGCTCCGCCGGAGTCCGCCGGAGAATATATCAAGAGCCTTCTTTCTGATTTTGTCGTTCGTTCGTTTATTACCTGGGCACATCTGGTTGTCTAAAAACACATTCACAGTACAGGAATATATTCATCACATTTTGCTCAGGAGGTCCTTTCAGAAAAAAAAATTATGACAATTGCTCAAAAAAATTTTGACCAATCACTTACTCTTTTAATCTATATATATAAAACTCAATGTCTGTGAGGATGTTCGTTTACTTGTTCGTTCGTTATAGAAACGCGCGCCACTGAACCGATCCGGCTGAAACTTCGTACGCGTATATTTTCGACCCCGGCGATGGTTTAGAGCTACTTTCCGTGGCGATTCGCCGGGCCATTCTATCGATTTATTGATTTATTTACTCAAACCTAAGAAAATGAAGGGCCATCATGGCAACCGATCATTTTTACATATAAGCATGTAAGCAGGGGCGGTAAAGTCCATTTCACTTTTAAAGTTGGTAGGGTGCGGCAATTAGTCTGAAAGCGCTTTATGCGCATGATAGAAGAAATCTAGAGGCGTAAGTTTACAAGTTCTGTTGGCTTAACTAACTTGAAGTCTCGGGTGAGACCGGGGCCACCAGCTAGTTAACAATAATGAAAACTACAAAGAAACTTACTCGCTGGAGGTACAGGAGTTTCGGTTGTTTTTTCTCCAGCAGCAGTTGTAGTTTCACCAGCGCCAGTTCCACCTGTTGTTGTTCCGCCACTACCAGCTGCCGTGGTTTCACCTGTTTCTCCTGCTCCCGTAGTCTCTGCACCTGTGCCTGTTCCGCCTGTCGTCGCTCTTTCGGCAGCAGTAGTGCTTTCTCCTGCGGCGGTAGAACCTCCTGCACCGGTAGTCTCCCCTCCTGCGGAGGTGGTTTCCCCTGCTGAAGCGGTAGTTCCTCCTGCGGCTGCGGTGGTTTCTCCTCCTACTGCAGCGGTAGTCTCCCCTCCTGCTGCTGCGGTGGTTTCTCCTCCAGCGGTAGTAGCAGTGGTTGAGCCTTGAGATCGTACTCCTTCGAAAACCTAAATGTACGCATAAAATGCTGGTTGAGAAACCCTAGAAAGGCCATTGTTAAGTGCTTACGAGTAGAGCGATCAGAAGAATTACTAGATAACGCATTGCTGGTTTGAACTGCGCTATTGATAATTACTCGTCAACGCTTATATATACCGTATGTACATGTATCTGAGGGCTTTGTGCACGTGCGTGCCGTTGGCACTATTGAAAAAGTGAAAGTTTTATAGAGTCAATGCTTTTGTTGTGGTTTTTTTTAGATTGAATGTTTCGTAAACTAAAAGTCAGTGGTTTGGTATGCGTTGTTTTTGCGTTCATCTCTGACCACAATGTCGTAATCGAACCTTCGTATTAGTAATGTGAATGTGTTCCTTAGCCTATTCTAAGATGATAACAAAGTGGAAAAAATTTTATGTCTTTAATGAAGTCTGAAATACATGCTAAGCTGTGAGCGTTTTTTCAAGCCAAATCCAAAGCAGGATGCAGAAAAGTCAATTGGTCGCAGTTTCCAGATAGAGCGTGATATTCTATTTTCGGAGTAAACTGCCGGGCATTTTCTCCTCAATTGACCAGCTCAAGCATGCCAAAAGAGTTCGCGACCAAAGGACCCTATACCGCACTGCGTATAGCCTAAGAGAATTATGGGTGCTAAGGATTGCTCTCGAAACGTAATGAAGCGGCTGTGCACCTTGTTTGAAAATCAAAATAGTTCAGCTTAGACACCCGAAAATAGGATAGTAGGGGTATATTAGACAGGAAAAATCCTCTGAATCAAGTCCTGCTCTGTCCCATTCGAGCTGTTCTAAATACGTCTTTCAGCCCCGCATTCATTCACACACATACACACATACACACATACACACATACACACATACACACACACATACACACATACACACATACACACATACACACATACACACATACACACATACACACATACACACATACACACATACACACATACACACATACACACATACACACATACACACATACACACACTCAGATAACCGCCGGGGGCAGGCGGACATGCGAATTTTGAGCAAGCGCGCACCGGAAAAATAGTTCGTTGATTTTTTGCGGCCCGCTTGCAGAAATTTTGAAAGCTGGCGAGATTAAAGGCGAATGCTTGAAGAACAATCGCGGTTTCTCTATGGATTAGCTGCGGCGCAGCGGCCGCATTCTCGCGGACTTTCCGCGAGGATATGCAAAAATTGCGAGGGGCCCAGTCCTTTGTGGAGGACCGCGCAACCCTCAGGTACTTTCCGCTGAAAGAAAGTACCTCAAACTTGAGTAATTAAACCAACGGTGACACCTCTGCCACACAGAGTCTTACTTGCGCTCGACGTACGCCCGAAAATGCCTAAAAAGAGTCCGAGCGCTTGCTGAAAGTTTGGCCAGCGCTCGCTGAAAGACATTTTTTGCCGAGCGCTTGCAAAAAATGCTGTATTGCTGCCCGCTGGCAGAATATGCGACCGTAAAGGAAGTGCCGCCCGCTGAAGGTTTGGCCACGCCCCAAAATTCTGCTGACCGCCTGCAGAAAAGCGCGACTTTGCGGACCGCCTGCCCCCGGCGATTATCTGAGCATACACACATACACACATACACACATACACACATACACACATACACACATACACACATACACACATACACACATACACACATACACACATACACACATACACACATACACACATACACACATACACACATACACACATACACACATACACACATACACACATACACACATACACACATACACATATACACACATACACACATACACACATATACACATACACACATACACACATACAGGGCTTTACAACCTGAGTGTCCCACCCGCCCCGCTAGGACGCCACGCTTAGGTCCACGCAGCGTTCGTGGCGCTGGCTGCGCGTCGACTGAAGCTTGGCGAAATCCGGGCGATACGCAGCAAACACCGCGCGCGGCCTGAGCGAGGCGGCCGCGTTGGAGGAGCCGCGCAAGCGAAACTTGCAACTCTCAAGTTGAAAAGCCCTACACACACACACACACACACACACACACACACACACACACACAATTATTCCTAGATCCGCGGGCTCGCTGTCGGCCAGCGATAGCATTTTTGCCTTTTACTTTATGAGCAGAGTGTAACGAATTTAAGTTTTTAGGTTGTCGTTAAGCTAAGAGTGGTACCGTAGCTGGACTTTCAGTAACGTTTACTTCCTATTCTTTCAACCGGCATACATGAAACTCAACTAGCTTCCTTACTAAGCATTTATCAGGCAAATATAAACAAAGTATAGAATATAAAGGGTGTAGTGGTAGACGGCAAAACAGGGCGGGATAAAAGTATAAGAATAATTAGAGAAGAAATTAGATAGCGGATAGATAAGTGGAAGATAGATAGGTTTGAGATAGAGGGTAGCCAAGCAGGAGCTAGTGCTCCGGCTCAACCTTACATAGGTATAACAATATAATGGACGTGAATAAATACGAAGCAATTATACGAGGAGAATAATATGGGATAAACATATGATTAGAGATTAAATAAATATGGAGGGCGGGTGATTAAAAATGAGGGGGAGGGGGGCGGAGATTCGGAGACGATCTTGTTGAAGAGGCAGCTGCGAAGCTGCCTCAAGTCCGAACCTCTCGTGGGCGGGGCATATTGCTTTATATAGCCCCGAGGCGAGCTTTGAGGCGGGGCGAGGAAGGCGAGGAAGATGGACCAATAGCGCAGATAGTTGCGCTTTTCCTACATGATTTTCTTTCGGAAAGTCCCGGTCCCCGGGACTAGAAAAATTTTACAGGTGCGTCTTGGCAAATGGCGGTAACGTGGCCAGTGGCATTGCAACGGAAGCACATTGGGTTTTCTGTGCATTCTTTTAAGGGATGGTCTTCGAGGCAGCGAGAACAGAGCCTGTATTTTTTAAGAAGTATGCGGGCTCTAGTAAGGAAAGTCATGGGTGACTGACAGTCCCGCGTACGATGGGTAGATTGATGACAGAGGAGACATTGAGGTGTCATGATTGGGTTGAAACAGCGTCGTTGTGTGGGTCCACGGTATTGGTGTTTCAACTTATAATAGAATTGACGTTCGTCTCGCGGCGGAGGTCTTGGAGAAAGGCATAGTTTGATTAAGCTTGGGATAGCTCCAGTAGGTTTCTCCCAGTTGCGCGGTGGTGGAGTAGGAGTGCACAGTGACCTTTTGATAAGAGGTTTGGGTGTAGTGGAGAGTCTTCTACGGCGATAAAAGCGTTGAGAGGCTGGTTCTGGCATATGGATGGCTATGGTGGAAGGAGTGGTTCCTTGCGGAGGGGTTATGGTACGGTCAGGATCGTTAGCTTGGGAAGGAGTGATGCCTTCCGGAGGATTTGCGATATTCTCAGAAGGGTTTGTGATATTTCCGAAGTCGTTAATTTGGGAAGGGGAAAAAACGGAATAGGATACAATCGAGTTTAATTCAGATATTATGGGTACAGCGAGAAGAGTTTCAGCAGAAGAAATGTCCTCTGGGGACGATACCTTCAAGTTTATGATGGTATCAAAAGGAGTAGGAGTAGGAGAACGGGAACGGGTTAAAGAAGGAGAAGGAGAGGAAGAAGAAGAAGAAGAAGAAGAAGAACGAGAGTACGATAGCACTGGTGAATGCTGTGTGTGACAAGAACTTGACGACGATGAGGAGCGGGATCTCTTGCGACTGAAGCGTTTGGAGACGATGGGAAACATGTTGGTTGACATCTGAAATTGTTTCCCGGTTGAAATCCTCGATTTTGAACGTTTAACATGTTTAACACGCTATTCTGGGCGGTAGCGTGGTAGGGGCGCTCTGATGCGGCGAGGGTGTTTTTTTTTCTTCGCTTGTTGTTTTTTTTTCTTTTTCTTTTCTTGGCTTTGGTTTTGCTGAGTTTTTTTTCCTTTTTTTTTGAAGATTATGTTTGCTTTTGTTTAGCATGCGCGCTCTCATTGGCCTTGATGGTGATGCCAATCTATCTGCTGGTGCGCGCATGCCGCAATCGGGCTAAAAGAGAAAAGGTAGAGCCGGTTATGCCGGCTATTAGAGAAGATAGAGCCGGTTGTGCCGACTATTTGCATTATCAGGGAACATATATATAAATATGCGGGTATCGTTGGTGCTATTAGACTGTTATCTGTGAACAATGGCGATATATATATATGTGTACTATTAGGTTCGTTATTTTTTTTTAGTCTAGTATGTTTGATATTACGTATACATGAAGTTTTATTGGCTGGTAGTGATTTGTTTCGAGTGCGGGTTGATGACTATTGTGGACTTGTGCTTTCGATCAATGATGTTGCAGGAGAGTATGGTTTCAGACGATTCATGTGGATGGTTCGTAAGCGACGGCCATCTCGGATGGTGACGTTTGGCCGTTCAATATCCACAATGGGAAAAGGACCTTCGAATCTAGGTGCGAGTTTTGAGTCTACATCTTTTCTTATCAACACTTCTTGTCCAATTTTATAACTACTTGGGTTTACACGTTTTCTAAGGTCGTAGTGATGCTTCTGTATGGTTTGAGAGGTGGTTAGGTTTTGGGTTACATCCTTTGAAACATTTTGGAGGGTGGAGGTTAATTTACCCACGTAGTCATCTTCATCAATAAATGTTCTTGAGGGTAGTTGCAGGGCTAGGCGGAAGGCGTTATTAGCTTCTCTCCCATGAGTGATAAAGAACGGGATATATCTTGATGATGCATTTTCGGAGGTATTATACGCGTGGGTTATAACATGAATTACGTCATCCCATTGGTCTTCTTTTTGGGATATAGCAGTGGCTATCAGTTCTTCGATAGTTTTGTTCGCGCGTTCTACCTGACCATTGCTTTCGTGATGGTAAGGTGTACTAGTATTATGGGTGACGTTGAGCACTTTCAGTGTGTTTCTGAAAATATCACTCATAAAGTTATTTCCTTGATCGGTGACTAGTATCTCTGGTGGACCGAAACGGCTCACTACTCTGTTGACGAATATGTCCGCAGTGGTGATTGCCTGTTGATCTGGTATGGGTTCGGTGATCATTAGTTTAGAGAAAGCGTCAACAAAGACGATGATGAATTTGTTTCCCCGTAGCGTTAGTGGAAGGGGTCCTATGACATCGGAGTGAACGCGCTGAAACGGTCGTTTAGGAACTTCAAACCGATCCAGCGGTTCATTTGTGCGATAAACGGAGGGGTCTTTCCGTAGTTGGCAGATGGGACAAGATTTTATAAATTCGCTGATGTCACTGGACATCTTGTTCCAGATTGCAAGTTTGCTGATGGTTGCTTTGGTCTTTTGGATTCCTAGGTGAGCGGTGCCAAAGCGGGATTCGTGGACTTGTTTGATTAGCACTTTCTTGATGTTGGAATCTTCAGGAAGCACTACCTGGGGATCTTGATAGACTTTCTCTGGTAGTTTATACAGTATATCGTTGAGGATGAGATATTCGCGAGTGTGCGGGTTAGACTCGCCTAGTTCTATGGCCTGTTTATAGGACAGTATCCAGGGGGAATTTCTTTGTTCCTCTCTGATCTTTTCAATGAATTCTGGGGAGGATAAGTTGATATTAGGGCTGTCTTCGGTAGAGATGGCGGCTACTTGGGGCGGGTGCCTTGACAGCGTATCGCAGAGAATGTTGGCTTTTCCGGGCCGATATACGATAGTTATGTCAAATTCTTGTAGGATTACTTGGTACTTCGCTAGTCTCCCAATCAAATCTTTCCGATGTAGAAGCGCTTTGAGCGGGGCGTGGTCTGTGATTACGGTGCATTTGGCTCCATCAATGTATGGGCGAAACTTTTGCACTGCGAAGACTACTCCTAGCGCTTCTAGTTCTATGGCGGGGTATCGGGATTCATGATTGTTTAGGGTGCGACTGGCGTAAGCAATTATTCTTAGTTCGTTATCCTGTTCTTGTTTTAGGACTCCGGCTACTGCTTTGCCGCTGCTGTCCGTTTCGATGACGAAGGGCAATCCTAGCCTTGGTGCGACCAGGATTGGAGCAGTGGTGAGTGCTTGTTTTAATTGGTGCATAGCGTTTTCACACTCGGGGGTCCATATAAATGGTGCGTCTTTCTTAGTTAATGCGGTAAGGGGTGAGGCGATAGCCGCAAAATTATGGACAAATCTACGAAAGAATGAGCACATTCCTAGGAAGGCTTTGATATCGGTGGGATTTTTGGGAGTTGGATAGTCGTCAATTGCTCGGGTTTTCTCTGGGTTAGGTCTTATACCTTCTTTACTTAACACGAAACCTAGGAATTTGATTTCCTTCTGAGCAAATTCGCATTTAGAAGCTTTGAGCTTCATTCCGATCTGTTCGATTTTTGTGAGCACCTCATCTATATCGTTGAGGTGTTCGTCGGGGGTTTCGGAAGTGATTATTAAGTCATCAATATAGATAAAAACTCGAGCTCTGAGATGTTTTTTGAATTCATCCATTATACGCTGGAAGGTTGCGGGAGCGCCTTTTAATCCCATCCGCATTCTGATGTACTCGAAGGCTCCGAGAAAACACGCAAAAGCGGTTCTCTCGCAATGGCTTTCCTCTAGAGGAATTTGGTGAAAGCCTTGTTGGAAATCCAAGGAGGAATATAGACAATTGTTTGCGCATAAATCGATTATATCCTGGATATTGGGGAGTATGGATTGTTGGGGCTTGGTAATAGCGTTTAATCCTCTGAAGTCTATGGTGAATCTCCATGAGGTTGCGTCTCGTTTGCGTACCAAGACTATAGGGGCACAAAATGGTGATGCGGATTCGCGGATTATACCGTCTTTGAGCATTTGAGTGATTTGCTGCTCTATCTCGAGTCGTTTTTCGAGTGGGACACGGTATATTTTCCTAGTTGGTATTGGGGCATCTTCTATGAGATCGATGCGGTGTCGTATTGGGCCGTTATAATGTCCTAGGTGTCCGTCAGGTCCTACAAAGGCTTGAGAATGCTGACGTACTATGGCTAACAAATGTTCTTTTTGCTGCGATGTTAGCGCGGACTTGGTTAGGTTTATTTCGGAAGCGATATCATAGGTTGGAGCCCAGGGAATTGGGAAGTGAGGAATCCTTTCTTCCCAGTTTGCTTCGGGAGGTATGTACTCGCCTTGAACGGTGAGAATCTGTTCGAGTGGAGAGGAAACGGGTGTAGCGTGAGCAATTTTCATACGACCATAAAGCTTCATATCGGTGTTGGATGGGTTTAGGATGTTCACGAGGCATGCCCCGTTGGGGTTGGGGCTCACTAAAGATCGGCCAACAACGTATAGAAGGTCTAGATCTCTGTGGTTGTCTTCAATGATGAAGTCAAATAGGTTGCTGGGATCGTAAGGATCGATGTACGCCGGCACAATGGATGAAGATCTTTTTGGCAGAATGGTCGTCTGGGAGAGTCGTACATCATTGGGTTTGACTTCAAGGAAATTAATGGCGTTTATTTGGACCATGTCATGCGCATCGCTGCCAATCGTAAGTAAGTTGTTGTGTAGGTCTATGGTTACCTTGAGACCTAATTGGTTCAGTTTCTTGATGAAATCAGTTCCCAGAAGAACTGGCGCTGGGCACTGGCAATCTTGCGACACCAGGAAGCGATGTTGTATGATATGGGTTCCTACTTGGACATTTACGATTGCGGACGCTAAGAGCTCTATTTGAGTTCCATTGGCGGCTTGCGCTTTTACGTGATTGTTGTCGATGTTTACATTGGGTCCTAGCGCGTATAGCGTGGATTGCTTCATATAAGATATTGTAGCGCCGCTGTCGATGAGCGCTGGAGTGGAGAAACGGTTGAGGGTTATCCTTACGTATGGTAATGGACTTTTGATGGAATTGACTTGCGAAAAGATGGAGTAGATGCGTGGCACGAAAAGGGAATTTGGTTGATTTCCGTTGTTTTGCTCCTCCATAAGAGCATTTATTTCGTGCTGACGCCTGGCTAGTCGTCTTCTCGAGAGACTGCTAGCTAAGTCTACCATGGCGGATGCGGCAGAACTAGAGGCTTTTCGTATAAAATAGATCTTCACGAAGCAGACACAACATGCAATGAGAATGATGATTACCAATGTGGGGATGGTTACCCAGAGTAAGAGCGAAATCATGGACCATCTAATGCTTTCTACGCCAGCGGTCAATTTATCAGTTGTTTTGGTGTAGATTGAGGACAGAGAGTCTTTCAAGGAATTCCCCGCGTCCTTGATTTTGAGCATGGTATCTTCTATGATCCCTCGTTTTTGTAATCGATTTTGTAAGGCTGCGTATTCTTGCTGCAGGTAATCGATTTGGAATCTAGTGGTCGGGGCGTAGTTTTGTATGAGGTGATGGTAAATAGGCGGCGGGTTAAATAAGAAAGGTTTTGCGTTTATGTTTGGAAGTACATTTGGTGGTAATATTTGTTGAACTAGACTGGGATCGACATTGGAGATATAAGGGCAGGGCATTGTTGTCGCAGTTTGAACCAAATCTCCTGTGGCAGGGATTGCAAACCACAGTTGATCTTCAACCAAGACGGGTAGAAGATCATAGCAGGTGTTATTGACTTGGTGACTTGGAAATGTTTGGGTTGGTTCAACTTTTCTACATCTGGTCACTAGGAGTTCGTTGTCCGATAGGGTGGCGACAACGTTCGTATCTCTGAGCAATAGTCGTGCTGCCCAAGTGGGATCGACATGACTGAGCTCGTGAAGTCGTTGGTTATTCAAATATTGCCTTATACAAATGTTATTGAACGTTTGTCGTAGGGTATTTTCATGATAGTGAAATTGCATTGACGGTTGAGGATTAAGGTTTCTGGGTTCGGGTTGGTCGTCTTCGGCTAAGGGTGGCCGGGATGATCTATCGGGTCGCGTTTCTGGGGTTTGGAAGGACGGCGGGTGATAGAGCCTTTCATAAGCTGATGTTGGCTTCGCTGTTGTTGGATGGATCGTTGACGTGGTTATAGGATTCGTAGGATAGGTGAGAGTTGTGGGATGACTTGAGAAGGTTTTGATGGTGGCTTGATTGTGTGGGAATGTGTGAGACAGTGGTGGCGGAGTGCGTGCAATTGCGTCTATAGTTTTTGTCTCGTGTATAAGATATACAGGAGCGGCTACTCTTGGCGCTTCTGTGGTAGTTGTCGTACTGGGAGTAGGTGGCCAAGTCAGATGTACAGGATCGACTATTCTTGGTGTTTCTGTGGTTGTTGTCGTACTAGGGGCAGATGGCCAAGTTCGTGAGGTACGAGGGGTGATAGTGGACGTGTTCGGAATGACAAAAATTGGCTTCTTGGTGGGTATGTAAGCCGGAAGGGTTCTTTTTGTCGTTATCATAACCGGTGGATAGAACGTAGAAGGCCTTGTGACCGGAGACGAGCTAGTTTTGCTAGGTAGAGGTTCTGGGTGAGTAATGGGTTCTAAACCTAAAGTCTTGATGTCGACTTTATCCAGATCTTTCTCTCGGAAGAATGGTATGGGCTTTTCTCTGAGTTTGCTGGGGTCTCGACCAAGGTCAATTCCAAGCACTCCGAACTCGCGTGATAGGTATGGGTCGAATATATCAGTTATACCTTGTTCTAGGTCTTGTTTTAGTGCGAGCTCAGCGTAATTCAGAGGTCTTCTAGTTTGTATATCTTCAAGGAAGGCAAGCTGGTGGTATCGGTATTCTGCATAGCGGATTGTTCGCAGGACGCTTATGCGGGTATTTTCCAAAGCGTACATCCTACTTCGTTGGGAGAAATCTTGGTTGGTGACTTTCCATAGTTTAATTTCCCTTAGTAGTCGGTGATCGGTTATAGGTTGTGTTTCAAATTGGGGTAACCTTTGAAACTCGGCGGTGCCGAACAATTTTCGCGTCATGAGTAGGGTTCGCGCGGGAACTATTTCGAAGCGAGAGCGACGGTTTTCGTTGTCGACTAGATATTTGACGCCGCGCCTTTTCCTTTGTTTAGCGGAAGTTTCCACGATGAAATCCTGGATCATCATGTGAGATGGGATGTCTGGGAAAGAAAGTATGTGATTTGAATTAGTGAGGTAGCTGTTTGGTATGTTACAGTGCTGTAGCAACCGCAAGCGGAGGAGGTGGTTGTTGCTTAAATCAAAGGCTAACTCATGGTCGGGTACGAGGACGTACTTTATGCTAACCAGAGCGTTGAATTCTCCGATAGCATTATATTTGCACCAAGGGATCACTTCCATGGGTTCCCATATTACCATTCCGGTGGGGGTATTACAGTTTCCTTGCGCTAGTGAGCAGTTGTTTAAATCTCCAAAGGTGCTGAGCATGGCTTCACCATTTAGGGACGCTATTTGTCCTTCTTCGATGGAATAGAGGCTTCGCAATTATAGGTTCGTACCCCAGAGCGGGAGTGAGCTCTTTTCGTCCTCAATTTCTTCCGTTACTTTAAGTCCTGGAGCAATTTCGGTAAGGGTGTGTCCTTTAATGCTACCACTACTTTTCCCAAGTTCACATTCTTCTGCTGGGATTGAGAGACGTTGGCGGCTGACTACAGTTCGTCGTGTTCTTATATAGAGGATGTTATGTATGGAGACTTGAATGACATCCCGGTAGCATTTGTAGGCAGGGATTCGTAACGGGTTGGTATTTTCGCCAAAAAGCTGCACCGTGGTTTCGAGCAGGGGTTCATCCGGAGTGACGCTGCATTGTATTAGTTTGGGAAGAGAAAGTGCATTTGGGAAGGTACTGCTTCCGCAGACCTGATAGGGCAGGATTGGAGTTATCAAGCAGGTGGCTATTATGGCTAGGATGCATAGAAAATTCACGTTTTGGGCTGCCGAAGGCATTCGGGCTGACTGCTGGTAATATTGGGTAGTATTTGGCGCCGGCGATTGGTAGTATTGGGTCGTGTTTGGCGCCGGCGGTAGTGCAGGCTGGTTTATGGCGTGTGGCGCTGGAGGTGCATACGCCGTGTAAGGATTATATGGGTTGTAGAATTGGTTGAAAGGGCGGTATCGATTATTAGGAGGGCGGAGAGGCCAAAATCGGTTGTTATTTGGAAAGGTTCGTCTTACAGAAGGTCGAAATCCGCGAGGATTTCCGTAAGTGCTGTTTGTGGGGCGGAAAGGAGTACCGGATCTTCTTTGTTGTCTCCAATTGGGATTATTATTTGGCCTGTCGTTTGGTTGGAAACGTACTACTGTGCGGGAGCGATCTTGTCTAGGTGGCGGAGTATTTCGGCTGGTTTGGAGAGTATTGACCTGTTGGGTCAATTCCTCCACTTTCTCGCCTATTTTTAAAGAATTTATGCTTTCCAAAAGTTCTCTATCTTCGCGATATTCTTGTTCGAGTATTCTTTGTATCTTTTCAGCATTAGCGAGAGCGGTATCGAAATCTTCGGGGTCAGGGAGGCGTCTAACGGCTCGCCTGATGTCTGGTCTCAACCCTTTGATGAAAAAATCGATGGAAAGTTTGTTAGGTATCTTCTTGTCTTCTCCTTGATAGGCTACTTTCGTTTTGGTTAGTATCTTCTTTGCAAATTCGCCAACAGTGTCTTTTCCTTGTCTGAGATTATGTAGTTCGTCTCGGACATTACTTAGCATAGCTTGGTTTTTGAACTTTTTCGCTAGGTTGGTAACGATTTCTGTCCAGTTTCCCTTTTCCTCGGGTTTTAGAGATTGGTATTTTATTTTGGCTCCACCGGATAGAAATAATGGGAGGAGACTTTGGGCGTAAGCATGGGGAATATGGAGGCTGTCGACCAATTCTTTATAATCATCCAGAAATTCTTCAAATGTTTTGTCACCGTCCCCGGTGAATCTTTCAAGCCTAGTCGACAAAAGTTTGCTCGCGGCATATAAGTTTTGCTGCGGAAAGTTAGGGTCTTCGACTACAGGCGCGTTCATATCGGCTTGTACGCTAGCGCTGGGCATGTTTGGGCGTCTTGAAATCGAGGAGGATCGTTCTAGCTCTTTTGCTGCCCTTTTCCGGTCTTGAAAGTCTCTGATTACGGCTCGAAGTTCGTTAATTACGTCAAGAGAGAAGTTGGGATTGCTTTCGTCTACGGAATGATATTCAAACTCTTCCGGGGGTTCTAATTCGCTAGTAGAAGGACGATCTAAGTCAGACTGCGTTATACGCGGGGTTTTGCGTTGTTTTTCCAGTTTTTTGAGCGTCACGTTACGATCGTCACGATTTGTTTGAAAGGCACGCGTGATTATAAGGAGTGATTTCTTAGAAGGTATCTTGACTGTTTTGATGGAAGTGAGAGCTAGAACTCTATTACAGTTACTTTCCACAAATAATGTATAAGTTTTACAGGATACTCGCGTGGATGGCACTGGGACGCAAGCGTAGCTCACAAAATGGAAGACTGCCAAAAAGGTGTGTGTATGTGTTTTTTTTTCTTTCAAAGTTTACAGTTTATCAGTTGAGTTATTCTTTTTTTTTTGAGATTTCTTTTTCTTTCTTTTCTGTAGTACTACGAGTAGCGTTAGCTGATTTTTTTTTTGAGTTAAGTTGAGCTAATACTAGTCCTTTTTTTGAGAGAGAGACAGATACGGATTTTGTTTGACGGGTTACTTTTTTTTTTTTTTGAAAGATGCGAATTTTTTTTTTGACTTGGCTATTTTAGGTCAACGCGGCGTTGAGATGCGATTGTGCGGTGATTCACGTGGAGGAAAGCGCTTTTCCTACAAGCTATAGAAAGTTTGAGACTATTATGAGTAGCTTCCTTTACAAAATCGTGTTGTTATTAGTATGAGAATATTATAAGTAATTTTCTCTACAAAATCGTGTTGTTATTTTTTTTGTTTGCGTTCAAAAGTAGCAAGGTGAGGATGAATAGCAGAAAGTTATGACAAGAATTTGAGATTTGATTCGGATGATGAACCAAAATTTACACAAGGTAGAAAGTTAATGCTTACCTGATCGTATCGTTGTTGCCAAAGTTATTGGTTTGTTGATGGGTAGTTGGAATGCTCAAGGGTATGACAGACAGTTGGGTCGGATGCTGCGTGGCTGGTCGAATGTTAAAGAGGACGTTTGGTTTAAGGTCTATCTTTTATACTCGAAAGGAGGCGGAGTTTCGCTGCGGTCTTATATGCAAATCGGCCTTATGCGTCAGAGTACAAAATTTAGCATGTTTTCGGGACATCAATTAATCTTTCCGCGCGCGCATGGATAGTTTCAAAGCGCGAGTAAGATCTATTGTGTGGCATACGGCGTTTAGCATATTTTCGGGACAGCAATTAATCTTTCCGCGCGCATGGATAGTTTCAAAGCGCGAGTAAGATCTATTGTGTGGCATATGGCGTTTAGCATATTTTCGGGACAGCAATTAATCTTTCCGCGCGCATGGATGGTTTCAAAACGCGAGTAAGATTTATCGCGTGGCATATGGCGGTTGATTGTTCGCCCCTTGTGTCATTTTCAAATCATACGAAAGCTCAATATCCCTATGGGGCCATTTGTTTTGGGTTTCTAGCCGCAGCGCTTTTGACGTTTCGTGGCTTAACTTGATGGATAAGTGAGGCTCGAAGCGGCTCTTGCGCGGTCATTACTCAATGTGTTGGCTAATGCTATTGTTTCAGATACGGTAGCCTAGCTTGTGTGCGAATAGCCTTTTGGCAAGCTGATAGAAACCTTTTTTTTTTTGCTTGTGAGTGTCAAATCTCTTTTTTTTTTCGAGGTTCAGTACATTTCTTAGACATGGTTTACTCATTGTACGGAACAAAATGGGATGACAAGAAGGTATGAGTTAAAGGAGCGAATTATTGCTGCGGCTCACGATTTTCTTGGTCGAGCAGCTGAAAACTGGAAGTAGTTGAAGGGCGGCTCTCGTACGGACTCCTAGAGCGGAAGTCCGGTGTATACAGGTCCATGTCTTCTGGTGGGATCTCAATCTTTGGTAGTTCGAGCCATACTTGTTCGAGAGTGCGCGTCACTGCTTCCCTCCGAATTCCTGTTTGCAGCAGAGGTGCGTCTGGAAATTTTGGTACTGCACGAGCTATATATTGTAGATGCATTGCGAAAGGGGTACGTGGTGGACGTCTTGTGCAGAAGCAGTGACTCTTTCTGGCACTGGTATTTTGCATGACCCTCATGCTCTTAAGTCGTCTATCATGTTGCCCGTCGCTCCATCGAAGGCGCTTGTGGCTTCTTCGATCGCCGCGTGGGTGTAAGCCTCAAGGCGATAATTCGAAATGTAATCGAGGTCTTTTCCCTCCACTAGTTCGATGATTTTAGTCAGTCTTAGTATATGTGATGTTTCTTGCCTTTCGGTCATCACTACCGGCATTCGGCCGTAGTAGTGATAGTAATCACACTCGTCACCGATTTGCGATGGCTTGAAATGCTGGTTGTAGGTGTCCATCATAAGATGATTGATTTTTGTCACCATAGAGAACATGTTTCTATAATATAAAGTGATTAGTACGCGACGGAGGAGAGAATGAGACTGGATGTTGGAAATTTATTTTTTTTGGTTTTTTTTTTTTTGGAATTGAAGGGTCTCAAAAGTATGGTCTAAAATGGGAGAAATCAGAGGAGAGAGAGAAGCGTTCGTCGCTCCATGGTTAGGTAAGAAGATGAGGTGTATGAGTTCATGGGGAGGGGGTATTTATACGTATGTGAGAACCCGCCCTTATCGGCTGTATCCGTGAGCCACAGCAGGGGGGTTTTTTTAAAACTGGATTCTGATTAATGATTCGTATAGCACGATTTGTGTTTATAATGCTGTCATTGAAAGGAATGCTATGGGAAAAGAGGAAGTTGTTGTTGAAGGCGTTCTGAAAGGTTGGAATTCGTTGTGAAAGGTCCGAGTCGTGTTGGAGGTAAGGTTGTAATTTTAGATAAATACTAATTTACTGCGCATGAACTGTAGAGCGGTCACTTAATTGTTTTGAATTTTACCTTGTTCGCGAGGGTGACGCTTAGACGACCTGGCCAGGCTTTTCCTACGCCATGAAAATAGTGGGGAGCGGTTTGCTCCAGTCACATAAGTTGAGAAATTTTCATGTGGCCTCGCGATAGAGTGGCGTAGATGTGACTTAATGCGCTTATAGAAGTGAATATATGGCAATAGTGTATGGTTTAGAATAGGTTAGTAAAATAAATGTTCTTTTGCCGAGTTTTATAAAGGTAAAACCCGGTCCGGAACCTCCATGTAACGAATTTAAGTTTTTAGGTTGTCGTTAAGCTAAGAGTGGTACCGTAGCTGGACTTTCAGTAACGTTTACTTCCTATTCTTTCAACCGGCATACATGAAACTCAACTAGCTTCCTTACTAAGCATTTATCAGGCAAATATAAACAAAGTATAGAATATAAAGGGTGTAGTGGTAGACGGCAAAACAGGGCGGGATAAAAGTATAAGAATAATTAGAGAAGAAATTAGATAGCGGATAGATAAGTGGAAGATAGATAGGTTTGAGATAGAGGGTAGCCAAGCAGGAGCTAGTGCTCCGGCTCAACCTTACATAGGTATAACAATATAATGGACGTGAATAAATACGAAGCAATTATACGAGGAGAATAATATGGGATAAACATATGATTAGAGATTAAATAAATATGGAGGGCGGGTGATTAAAAATGAGGGGGAGGGGGGCGGAGATTCGGAGACGATCTTGTTGAAGAGGCAGCTGCGAAGCTGCCTCAAGTCCGAACCTCTCGTGGGCGGGGCATATTGCTTTATATAGCCCCGAGGCGAGCTTTGAGGCGGGGCGAGGAAGGCGAGGAAGATGGACCAATAGCGCAGATAGTTGCGCTTTTCCTACAAGAGTGGAAGAACTGGTGCTATGTACGGTACCGGCCTCTTGAAAAGATGACCGGATCATCCCGACCATAAGAGCATGACCCTCATCGGCCGCCTTTAGATAAGTCCGTTTTCTTTCCATTATAACTACCCTGAAATCTTGTCAGATAAACTGTCAGATAAGTCCGGACTTGGGTTTTATCTGTAGGTGGATTTATCTGATGGGCGGATTTATCTGCAAGATTCTTGGCAGCGCGAGTGTGCATATTCATAGATATTTCTTGTCAAAAAAGCGGACTTATCTGTAAGATTTTAGGGGTAATTAGAATCTCTACACAATGCAGTCTAGAAGATCTGACGTTCAACACTTGGTGCCACTACGGTGCCGACAACACATGCGCGCGAAAAAGGCGCCGACGACTTGAGCGTGAAAAATTGCAACACAGCGGACATTTTCAGAACTCGCCGTGTAAACCTTTTCCACGCGCAAGTGTTGTTGGGTACGCATGGGCACAACGTTAACAATCAAATGCGTCAGGCTGTGCATAGTTTTATGTGCTAAAGGTAAAAAGATTGGTCTTTCAAACGAACACATGTTCTGCATTTTTTCGTGGACTACCATTGAAGTCGCTGTACTGGCAGCGATCGTCGTACTGTTTGTCAGCTGGCGACATTGACTTCGTTTGCGTAGATCACTCAATTGAATCGGTTTGAAAACTTTAGTGAAGTAGATTACTGTCGGGCGATTTTGTCAAAAGGTAAGTAATAGGTTACCTTCTTTTTGTCAATCAAAACGTATCCAAGTGCACGCATTCTTTTGGTGAGTTCTCATCTAGTAGATCATTTGTGGTTCCTTCTTCTTTGTCCGTAACTTTAGCATCGTTCGTAGTTGCAGAATGTCCGGGTCGATTTTCGTCTGGATTCCAAAACAGCAGCCTTATTCTCATTGTATGCTGTGTCCGCTTCCGATCAGTAGCAGCAGCGAATCCTTTGAAATGGTAATTTTTCACAAATTATAGAAATTGTGGGCTTATGCAGTGTTGTGGTTGCATTAGTGGCCGAGCATTTTGACTCAATAATTCTGGAATAATCTGGAAACTTTATGTATAAATATTGACACTTAAAGATCGGGAATGAGTGCATATATCGAAATCAGACATATCCCTCTGCTTCAAAGGGAATATAAGAAAGTTTAATTATTTCTGAGTACACCGTGTACATCCCACATATGACCTACAATTGATTATGAGGACAAAATCTAGGTCACAATTTTTATCTACGTAAACAGAAAATCTTTTGCAGGCAACAATGCATCGTTCTTCCTCGTGGAAATCCGATGTTAATAATGACGACAGTCTCTCCACCACACCTGTATCCGGTAGGTAATTTTTTCTTTTTTTTTCAGTAGTTTGCTCTGATAAACCTGGGTCTATTCATTCCATTATTTTTTTTTTCTCAACAGATTTATCATTTCAATCTTTTCATATTGTTGCTGATCGCGTTTACCCAAATCAGTTTTTTGTGCTCTCAGCTGACTGTCATACAAAGAATCAGTTATGTCGCGCCTGTTCGCAGACCGATTGTTTTTTTTGTTGTGTTGGTCCGTTTGTGAAATCCATATGTCTGTGATTGACAATGGCTCTCCCATTGGAATTAAATTTACTCAACTGACCAGGAACACGACCTGAATTGTGTAATGTAAAGAAAGAATGATATTTTTTGCAAATTAAATTATTTTCCCTTTTGAATAAAGCGCTTGTCTGCATGTCTTACACCAGAAAAGGCGAATAATCCAATTAGTTTCCAAGTCTCAGTTTTATGCATTGAAATTTTGTGTTTTCTCTGGTTTTTGTCTTGCGGTTTCAAAAATCAGTATTGCATTCCGTTTGTTTTGTTGCACTGGTATGCAAACGTTGATATCGATCAGTTTGCATCTTCTCACATTTCAATGCTTTTGAGATATATGAATTGTTATCAACGAAACGCTGGTTAGCTACTGTGCAAATACCACCGAGTCATTTATTCAAAAAATTTGAATGAAACGGGCACCTCGTAAGTTCTCCTTTTGTCAAAATGATCATCGCATTTGTGTATCTGGATTCAATTTTACAGTTTATTTATTTGTTTATTATTTATTTACAATAAAGGAATAGAAATTAAATTCATAAGTAAAATAGCTTAGCCAAGCGCAAACTCACAAGAATGGAGTCAGTCATAGATGCTCCGAAAATACAGGGTGTCCCAAAAAGATGTGCACACTGTTTGATTGTAAATAACTCTTTTGTGGTGAAGTGTTTCGAGAAGCTTTAGGTACCGTTTTGTAGAGTGAGGTTCAACTTAGATTTACAGTGTAGAGCGGATTGCCGGTCTCTCATTCTTACTGTAGGATTACGGTAGAAACTTTTAAGAGGGTTTTGAGCCATGAAAGGCCATATTTTGTTCCAAAAAGAAAACAAAACAAACTGAAAACTCTCACGCTGGGCTAACTAAGGTTGTTGATTCTAAATGTGAAGTTCGCAACTCTTCCTGATGCTTCATTAAAAGATTATGCGAGGTAAGCAGTAGCAGACGTTTTTTAAGTGCTCCCAAAAAGTGCGGTTACACCGTTTAGAAAACCTCTCAACCTTGTAAGGAGTTGGGTATTGAACTCAGGGTCCATAAAAACCCTATTACACAAATTTCCACATTTTTTTTGAAAATTTTTGAAACGGCCCCTTTTTTCACAGTGACACCATATGTCTGAAGTTTCTACCGTGCTCCTACAGTAAGAATGAATGAAGGGCGATTCGCTTTACGCTGTAAATCTAAGTTGAACCTAGCTCTACAAAATGGTACCCAAAGCTTCTCGAAACACTTCACTACAAGAGAGTTATTTACAATCAAACAGTGTGCACATCTTTTTGGGACACCCTGTAGTTTTCCCTTTTCATCTTGCATTTAGAGTCCGTTAGTCAGACATGTGGAAGCAATCATCGGCAAAGACAGCCAGCTTACAGAGAATTTACAAACTCAGGTGACCTGCAGCACACAATTCATACTTTCTTGTCTCAATATCTGTATGTTTCTGCAGCTGTGAGCGAAAATACACAAAAAGGAATATCGTCATCTTCCATTCAGTATGGAACCGTGACCAGTTCTCGATATCGGAGAGGAGGCCATTATAATTGTGAGTGATAATTTTTTTCAAAAAGGTCTCATCGTTTGTATCAAAAATCCTACATCCGCATCTCCTTTTTTGCAACTACTCTGGTTTCACGAGTGCAAGACGCACCTTTTCCGTTTTTTGAGACAGCACTCGTTTCGCTTTGTTTCGGAAAGCGATCCCTATGGCACGCGCCATACTTTATCCACTTGATCCGCTTCCACTTCGCTATGGTCATTCCATTGATTTGACCAATAGCGAATTGGATGAAGTGAATCAAACGGATCAAGTAGATAAAGTATGGTGTGTGTCTATGGCGAACGATTCACTACGGTGATAGGCAGCACGGTATAGGTTGGTTGCGAAATCTTTTAGCGTTTTGGGCTGGCTTTCAGAAAAAGACCTTCTGCACCTTGTACTCGCGGTAGGATAGTTCAAGTTATAAGGTCAGGAAAGCTAGGTACTTTGTGCAAGTTGAGATATAGACCATGTATTTCATTCGATCCCTGGCATCGATTTTAGAGCTTGAGTTTGGAAAGAATTCTGTAAAACGAGTGCGTAGTGGTATGAGGTTCCGCTGTGACCCTGCATGATCAAAAGTCCGAGCGCGTCCTTAGGCCAACGAACCTCTTTACCTTCCAAGAACGGCAAATTCGTACCACAAAAATCTGAGACGGGCTCGCAAGTCACTGTTGTTCGTATGCATTCTAGCTTTCTTGGCAGTAACCTATAACGCGTACGGCGAATGCTCGCACAAGGTATTAGAACTCCAAATCTTATCATTAGTCCATTCAATCCCTCTGACTAATATCGATCGCATAGCATCTGGTATCTTGGAAGGGCATGTTTTGCCTTTGTTTTTTTTTGTTAGAAAATATCAGGGGCAACACAAAATCAGGAGTCCAACGATGATGCTCTATATATTCTTTTGGTATGCCACCGTAGCTCTATATAGTGAGATTAGGCCTAGAACATTCAATATCAAAGAAACCAAATAACTTTCTTAATTTTCTACGAAGTCAAAAATCCCGAAAAAAAAAGATATTTTTGTCACCTCAGGGCGAAGCGAGTGGTTTTTTTGGATTTTTCTGCTAAAAATTTCCATGACAAAAATTCGGTGAAAACCAGGGTTAGCAGTTTCATACGACCATTGACTACAGAGCACTACTTGTGCAATTTTGCTAAATTCCACATCACGTTGTGGTTACTCAAAGTGAAGATAATAGATGGTTGGTGATTTGCTTGTAGAATACTTTCCTCTTTGTTTCTGCAATAAGTTCGGCTATGCATAGAATCGCCAAATATTTGTAAATTGTTATGCACTTTATTGCAATGGCAATGATTATTTCTAAAAAGAATTAGGAGTCTGACTTGAAATTTGAAGACGGTAGAACTTTAGAACTACAATCCAGTATGACGTGGTTTTCATTTTTCACAAAACAATCACAGTTTGGTTTTGAATAATTTAGGAAGTGTTGCCTGTGAAAGCGACTCAATCATGGTAATTATGCCGAAGCTTTGTTCTTTTTTTTTACTAAAGTTGTAATGTGTTCGTATTCATTCCGTTAACTACGCTCATTTCATGCCTTTTTCCTAACACGGATATTCCGTAGAGTTATGGTTTGATAGCTATTTTTCCCTCACATGAGCTCCGGTACGCACTTGAAAGCATGTTTCAGGTAAATTAGAATAGATCTTTGCGCATTAATTGGTTTTCCGGGGTGAGCGTTTCTAGTTAGCGTTCTCTTCTGAATCTTGCAGGAACGTAAAACACAGCGTTGTCAGAATTCGCTGGGCTATGAATCTTATCTGTTTTTGCAGCATACGACAACAGTCGCCGCGTAAGACATCGAAATAACGATGTGGACCCATATCGGGTACAACAGCAGCCAGCACAATATGACGGCTTGGTGCATGCACATTCTGTAAATGGTTTACTGTATGTAGTTTGATTTTCACTAGGGTAGGAAGTTACCCATGATATCGGTTCCAGAAGGCAACATTCATGGTCCGGGAGCAACGCTTCGCTGGGTTCAAATCGATCGCGATCTTCAGCTCATGATCACCGATCATCTGTTTGCAGTAGACATGGAGAAGATTCGGAAAATTGTTAATTTTACATGTCTACAGATTTTTTGCTACATTTTTCTTATTTTCTTGCTCCTATCATAATTTGACCATTAATTTAGGGACTAAACTTGATGAGTATGATGATAACAATGATGTAACTTATGTGGCAGCTGGCACAGCTCCAGTACCCACGTGAGTTTTTGCATGGGACAAGTTTCTTGCATATTAATATGGTTTTATGTTTACTGTATTCATCCTGCAGACTCTCCTGCAGCAGCGTATTTTTAGATTTCATGTAAATTCTGGTGGCGCTGGTTCGAGCCACTCGGCTGCCGCGCCAATTACCACCTATGCAGCACCTGTAATGTCAGCAGGTGCTGCCAGCCATTTACCCACCTACCAGCCAGGACTCAATCTTCCTGTGGATCAGTGCGACGTACGACATTTTGATCAAGGAGTGCCTTTATCGGACAGGTGCAGAGCTTAACTTTGATTTCGTTCGTAATAAAAGTTTGTTTTATTTCAAGTGCTGTGGACGAATTGACGCCTTCAGCACAAGTGATGTTCACTCGCAAAGGTCCAACTTCATCCAGGTACTGTAAAGACCCGACTCTGTTAGGGAATAATGGTAGGTTGTGTATGGTGTTCAGACTTTTGTTTTTTTGCTTTAAATCTGCGAAGCATGGAATTATTCCCTTTTGACTGATACGCCAGTCGCTATATTTGTCTCATTGCTTTTTTGCACTTTCTATCTTTGTATCACACAAAAATAATGAGAAATGCTAAAAATTTTTCTATCGCTTAATAATTACAAAACTGTCTCGCTCCCTTAGACGAGTAAGAGAATTTCCTTCCCTTCCTCTTTATTGTCATCTTTTTTTGACATAACATGGCGAAGAAAGCTAGGAATTGAACACCTTATTTTCCTAGGAAAAGAGAACAGTGTGGTTCGCAGCGCCGGTCGAATAATGAGGGCATATCATTTACTCTATCTACTTCCTTACTGTCTATTGAGAGAGAGTCCATTAATTTCGAAACGCCGATAATGTCTTAACCAGAATCGTTGTGTGTCGTCTGTATTGATGTGCTTCATGCAGACGTAGAGGCCACATCATGGCTATTTGTATCATCTGAATTCATCTTACATTAGTTATCAACTTATGGATTTGAATTTCAATCAAAAACAATCTCTCCAGTACCGGATATGCAAAATTACGCTGCACGCCAACATTCGCAGCATCCATCACCAGCTTATTTCCGCCATCAACTAGAGAGCGATCGGTAAGTTATTGTGCTATTTTCCTTTAGTTGTTTTTATTTAGAACAGCTATCTGCTACTGGCGCATTCCACAGCGCGCCTAAGTTTTCTTACGTTTGTTTTTCGATTCTTTTTGCATTTGCACATAACTAATGTTTTTTTATGCTGGCTTTCTTTTTCAGCACTGCATTGACGTTGCTGGGCATGATCTCAGCCCTACAGCAGCAGCGACAATCAGGTGCGTGCAACGAATGATTTTCGAATTACGTTTGCATTGCAGTCAGAATTCACATTCATTGAGCTTTTGCTTTTCTGTAAAGGTCATTCGTGAGCTGCATGTCAGGATCGATTTTAAGTATGCCTCTTTATACTGTAAGTTAGTGCCACTCAGAGTTTTATTTACAATCCTGTTGGCATCCGTTGTTTGGTCGCAGCTCTCCCATTTTTCTAAATTTTTGATCATCGCTGCCCGATTGTCAAACAAAGATACCCTGAGCATATCCAAGTTGACAGATGTTTTGTGGCTTTTTATCTTTCTATTGCTTACAGGCTACCACTTTATACGCTATATCTAAACAGTTGTGTCGCTTCACCAGAAAACCTTCACTTCCCAATTTTTCATTCCTGTGTCATGCAAGGTTTACAGCCGCCACAATGGGCAGATACCATGCAGATCTGGACGGTCAAGAAGGAGATAGCTCAGAATTGTCGCAAGTTCAACTACAACAGCTACAGCAGTTGAATACTGCGCAGTTGATCAGCCTTTTGGGAACGTGAGTTCTGCTGTTAGCTATTTCACTGTTTACTCAAGTTTCATTCCATTGAAGTAGCAGTGCTGGTCATACTATTGAGCTTTGAACTAGGCATTAGTTTTCAAGTAAAAACGCTTCTACAAAAATACTGTGGGAAGGTTATATCAATATTCTGGTTAGGCTTATGGGGGGTAAGTGCTCACCGAAGCGATTGTTTAATAATGTCGGATCGTCACACTCAACTGTTGACTAAAGATCGTCGATACTTTTTTATGGAGTAGAATACTTAGGATCATTTCTACGATGACATACCAATTGTTAAGTTTCTCTTGCTAAATTAACTCTGCTTACCTATCTTTGTGTCTATGGTTTGTTTTCCTTTCTGTGACATCTAAATAGAAAAACTTTGTGTTCAATGTCATCTACCTCTGTTTACCTTGCGCCGCTTACGTCACAAAGCAATTTGTCCGATAACCATCACACCATGCTGCGTGTCCATTCTCGAATGAGCAAATGCAAGTGATTAAGTGGCTGTTCGTGTATGAGGTTATTGTGCTTCATTTGCAAGGACAGAGATCGTTTTGAGAGTCGTTGGGATTTGGTTTGCTAAGATTCAATATTGTTTATTTATCACATGCTTTTATTGAAAGTTTTCGAGGGTCACAGATTTTTATGCTGTTATACTTGCCCGGTACAACATATTTGCTAATCTTCTTTTTCTCCTGGAGTTTCAGGCATTAACCGATGCTTTTTGATCTATGTGTGAGTTTGTTCATCACCTCAGCTAAATTCACTGCCAAAATTGATTTGCTCATACGTATATGGACGAGAAGCCCTGCGCATCAAGTGGATGTTTTTTTAACAACACTGGCATTCCGTCAGTGATGTAAGGTTTGATAGCTTACCCACACACTACCTACAGCAACCTAGCCATGAAGCTTGGTGTTCTCTGCTTGCTGTCATTCTCGGTGAAGGCTAATGGAGCAAGTCATTAACTGAACCTTCACCTACTTTCATCTCTATCGCAGTTTTATTACGCTGTAAAGCAGTTAAACCAAAAGAATGCGGAGACCAGGTGGCTGCATATTTTGTAGATTTTTGTTTCGATGAGCAGGAAAATATTCATGAAGAAAAAGAGAGCGCCTCCCGTAGATCAGATGAAGAGTTCATAATCTTTATCTCATTATGCCGAAGTAGTAATCTAAAAAAAAACGTGAAGATGTGGGTTATGGCAATGGCGAACGCATTGGAATGTGAGGCTCCGCCTTTTTCTCTCATCGAGTTCTAGAACACCATTATTTGTTAGTTTTACACATACTTTCTGTTCTTACTCAGTGGAGGCCAGCCTGAGTGGGTAAGAAGATCTTTTTCCTCGTATCAGGTTGGTAAATAAATCTTGCACCAAAATTTTTGGAAAATTCCTAAGTCTTTTCAAATTATTATATCTGTTCGATATACAGGATAGGAAGGGAATTTTGCGGTTTGTTGTAGTACTTTCTGTATTTACAAATTCAATTCGAAAAAGTTGTTATTAACGGCGATAGGAGCTGAGAAACACAAACTCTCAGATTTTGTTTTTTGATTTTCGATCGCTGAAAATGCCGTAAGGTCTAGCAAACTCCTCATTTTGGTCCAACTTTTATGACCTACTCTAATGTGATTGAGCAAGACTCGCTCCAAACTCACAATTTTCATTATCATAACTTTATCCGTTCATCTTGCCTCGGAGCACACCTGTTTTGGACATTATTGGTTCAGCTTCTTTTTTGATGAAGCGAATGTAGAGTCTAGGTGTCTTAGACAATCGTGTGCGTCTTTGCACACTATCTTGCCAGTTTACGATGGAATTTTGCGGAATTGTGGCACATGATTGGAGACACCTTGGGGAAGCTCTCCAAAGTGGTCCAGGTTCGGGATACTGTAATGTAGGTGTACCGTAGATAGAGATAAGGCACATACTTTACCTCAAATTTTTCGCAGAATGGTGCTGTTTTTGGAAGTTCAAGTTTACATGCACGATTAATACGGGATGGGCACTGGGACTGATGTCAGCCCACCGAAAAAATTATCGATTTATTGATTTTATTGTTTTTTTTTGCATCGTTCATCCCAGGAAGCTCAAACCTTATATACGTAGGTCTTCTAGCATGGTGATCTTGAAAATGATAGTCTCAAGTTCTAATACCGCCTGCTTACACTAGTTTCTTGATTTTTATGAAAATTCTACCGTACTGCTACTGTAGTCCCATTGTGGGAAAGTAGTGAATGAAGTGGACACTATAATTGTGATCAGCGCGTGAAATAGCCTAAAACACAGTTTTTCATGAATATCCATGCTGTTAGGTTCGTACAGTATGACTACCGTAACCTAACTGTATAACGCCAACATTTTGATTCAGCGCCTTCGATAACCTCTCCGGGATATTCTTTGAGACATCGCTTAAATTTTTCCAAAAAGACTACCACTTCGGACAATACGACCCACGGTTGGGTCATAAGTTTGACAAAGCGAAAAAGGCTCTGGTCCGAAATGGCAGTAAACGAAAAATCGGCTTTGTAGTGAATGCGTTACACCCTCGCAGGAGCTTTGAAGACTGTTAACCTGCGGTGCTTCTGCTACTGTAGCGGTATCGTCCTGCGCGAAGGAATGTGTCAGCCGTTTACGTAACTCAATGCTTCGTTCCAATGTTGTCTCACACTCTAGTCTTTTCGCATTCCAGAAACACCGGTTTCCGCTCTGATAAAGCAGTTTCACGAGGAAAACACGTGCGCTTGTATAGCTTGGATTGATGGCAACCTTGGTTTGGATAAGCGATCTATTTTTCTGAGAGGATACATTAGTCAGCATGCTATTATTAGTGCTTTTCCTAGTGCTGATTAGGCTTAAAATCATTGGAAACTTTTATTGTAGAATGATTTCATTTCTTCGGAGCTGCTCTACTTTGTAATCATTATTTCTTGCACAATCATGCTAGGCTTTTATCGGATTGATTACATACGCTTAGATACCACACATTCACAAAGATGTTTGAAATCTGATTACAGAGGCCTTTACTGGGCCAGCTTAGTAGGCAGGTTAGTGTATTCAAACTTGGCTAAAAATTCAACGATAAGCTCTTGCCCAGTACCGTACTCTGCAAATGGACCGAGCATAGTTTCTGGGTAAATTTGGCGAGATTTCAGGGTTATTTCTCGGTTACAAATGAATTTATAACGCCTGAGCAAGTGGCTTGCACAGTTTCTTAGATATTCTTTTCACATCCAAAAAGCTGAAATAACCTTATAAATTTTTGAAAAATCAAATCAGCTTTGCAAAAAGTTTTCTTCGGGGTATGCCCCCACACGCCTCATTTTTTTGGGTTATAGGCCTGCAAAAATTTCACTTCATAAAAAATTTTTGTCGCTCACACCCCTCTTCAAAAAATTTGACCGCCACTGATATTCACGTAAGAAGTCTAAGCACCTAGATTCGTCTAGGCATAACCTTCTAACAACTAAATTGCCTGTATATTCGCTATTCCTTACATTTCTTGGTGAGTGAAAGCATCGCACAGCTCTTCACCTCCCAAATACGCATAGCTCTAGTTACTCCACCTTTCGTTTTGGTGCTTTTGCAGTTTCTCATAAATTACATCGCATTTTATGTATCTTCTAGACTCTCCTCAGTGTAAAGTAATTAGAGACTTAATCCTCGGAGGGAATAAGATGGAGAAAAAATAGGAAGTGTAAACCAAAGCTTCTGATTGACCTTGATGATTTGCGATGGGACTTGCTTGCCGTAGAATATCGATATTGAGGAAAAATTGTGACTATTTTTGATGTTAAAATCAAAGGCGGCGTCCAGGCAGATCTGGACCTATGGGGCTTTTACGTGGAAAGTACTTTTGGGGCCCTAACTAAGGCACTGCCTAAGCGGCAGCTCAGGTAGTGCTTTAATGGCTGAGATATTCCCCTCGAAACTGGCCCCCGCGAACGTATTCGCATGGATTCATGGCAGTTTCGCGCCAGGATCCACGCTTTGCGCCATGAATCCATGCGAAGCACGGTCGCGGGGTCCAGTTTCGAGGGGAATATCTCAGCCATTACAGCACTACCTGAGCTGCCGCTTGGGCAGTGCCTCAGTTAGGGCCCTAAAAGTACTCTCCACGTAAAAGCCCCATGGGTCCAGATCTGCCTGGAAGCTGCCTTTAAGGAAAAATTTCTAATACTCCAAAAAATCTTGTTCCTTCAGTGTGCTCAGGGACTTGAGTACCGGCTCGACTATGCTGTTATCAAATTATCAAAGGATCGTAGGAGAAATTATAACAAAAAAGTGGGTAGGGGGACAAACTCTGCCGGATTGAACCACCTCCGCGGACTACTGATCCTGCTACGACATGCAACAATATGTAGCAAGAGGACCAGTTGCCAACGAAGGCGGGCTCAAACCGGCGAACCCCCGAAAAAGTAGAGGATTTATCTGAACCCTATGAGTGAGCTGTCCTTTTTTGACGTATAGCGACTATTATAGCTAACAAGCGCCTGTGATGTTTCTGAAGTGTTCTCGACGCAGGTAATTGTAAGCTTAAGCTTTGCCCTCTAGTTCTTGAAACACTTCGCAGCATAATTGGGGATACTGGTATGCATAAGTTGGGCCAAGCAGCTCAACAAATGTGATCAAGACGGTACAAACCAATTATCGGGTACATTAGCGAGAGAAGTACATATTATGTTTTGGTTCTTGATAGTTTCTTCTTCTGGTCTCGGTACGCGCATTCTACAATCTTCTAGTGTAGAAAACATAATTTTTGACATTCTGTGCATTTCATGACATTCGTAAAATCCTAAAATTTTGCATGAGTCACCCATGAGCTAGTTCCCTAGACAATTACGCAACTCAATGTTTTCTGTATGTTAGAGATCAGTTTATCAATACGTTTCTCACTACTTCTGTTTTTAAGTGGCACGAAACCACCTTCAGCTCCGGTTTCGTCATAAGCCTTAGCTTTTCGATTAGCCACATTAGCAGTTCTTGAGTCCAG